CCTCTATAATGTAAGAAGAAATTGTCATGCAGTCTCAAGGTGGTGGTTGGCAGGTTCAGTAGGTGGAGGTAAGACCCAGAAGCTCTGGTGGAGAAATCTGGCTGCAAGATTTCCTTCTTTCTTGCCAATTTGGCTGCATGCCCCTCTACCACCCTTGCCCCATTGAGGAGGTATGAGGTTGAGATCCACATGAGGGCAAATGCTGAGAATGGCTTCCTATCCTACACTTTCCCTTTGTCTCCCAGCTATCTCTATTCCTTCCCCCTCCCTACTCCAAAATTCAGATAAGGGTCACTAGCTTGGGCAGGAGTTGGCCTGATGACTGACTTTAATTGTTCCTCCTAGGTCCACCACTAATTAATTTGCTACATGGTCTTTGAGCCTCAATTTTCTGTAAGATAAACCTTGGAGTATTGTTTTTTTCTTTTTTTAATTTAGGGTAGAAGGGAGAAGAGAGCTAGACATGATTAAAGAAAAGTGAAATGGGGGGTTTGGCTGGCTTGAAGGTCCAGTCCTTATAGCATGTGCCAATATCTGCTGAATTATAAGATAAAGGAGAGAAAAGAAGGTCATTGAGTTATTTATTTTTTAAATTAACAGAAGAGAACAAAGGCAGGTCAGATAGAATCACTGACAAATGTTACATGTTGAATTTATTATATATTTTTAAAGAAAGTCAACTGTGGGCTCAGATTCCTTGAGTCTGTCCAATAGTAAGGATTCTTCAAATCACGCCCACCCTGACCTGTGTTCTAATAAATCTTGTCCTTGACCAAAAAAAAACCAACTGTACACAAAAGAGATGAGATGAATTTCATTATTACTTTCTAGAGCTTTTCATTATTACATTCTAGAGCTAGAAAGTAATGATGAAATTCATCTGGAGGAAAGAAAAGTCAATCTCTAGGGAAATAATTTTAAACATTAGATTGTAATTTTAAAGCAATAATCATCAAAATTATTTAGTGTTGACTCAAAAATAGGTTGATAAAGAACAACCTGGAAAGACTAACATGAACTGAGGTTGGGTCAACTGAGCAAAACCAGGAGAACACTGTACATAGTAAAAGCAGCATTGTGGGATGATCAATTATGATTGACTTAGCTCTTCTCAGCAATACAGTGATCCAAGACAATTCCAAGAGAATTGTGATGGAAAATGCTATCCACATCCAGAGAAACAATTATGGAGTCTGAATGCAGATTGAAGCATCCTATTTTCACTTTTTTGTGGCTTTTCCTTTTGTTCTGTTTCTTCTTTCACAACATGACTAATGTGGAAATATATTTACATGATTGTACATGTATAAGCTATGTCAGATTGCTTGCCATCTTGGGGGGGTAGCAGAGAGAAAAGATTTGAAACTCAAAATCTTATTGAAAAATGAATGTTGAAAACTATATTTACACATAATTAGAAAAATAAAATGCTATTTACAAAAAAAAAATTAGGTTCCTGAGCAAGTCACTTAACCCCACTGCCTAACCAAAAAAAAAAAAACAAAAAACAAAAAACAAAAACCCAAGCCAAAAAAAAAATAGGTTGATGAATAGAACAGATTAGGCATGTCATGTACAGAAACAATGAACTCAATAGTCTATTGTCTGATTCCATCAATGGAATAAAAGTTTACTATATGACAAAAGCTGCTGGGAAAACTGGAAAGCCATCTGGCAGAGACTTGTATAGACCAAAATCTCACACTGTATGTCAAGATAAACTCAAAATCTGTTCATGTTGCTGTTCAGTTGTTTCAGTTGTGTCCAACTCTTCATGACCCCATTTGAGGTTTTCTTGGCAAAGATGCTGGAGTGGTTTGCCATTTCCTTCTCCAGCTCATTTTATAGGTGAATAACTGAAGCAAACTGGGTTAAGTGACTTGCCAGCGTCACACGGCTGGTAAGTGGCTACTGCCAGATTTGAACTCAGGAAGATGAGGCTTCCTGACTTCAGGCCTGTTGCTCTATCCACTGCACCCCCCATCTGCCCCAAATGAGTTCATGACTTTGACATAAAAGGTAACATCATAAACAAGTTAAAGAACCAAGGAAGAAATATCCTTTCACATCTATAGATAAAAGAAGAGTTCATGACTAAATGAAGGATTCAGAGGATTATTGGAGATAAAATGGACAATTTGATTATATAACTAAATAGATTTTGCACAAACAAAACCAAACCAATGCAGCTAAAATGGAAGAGAAGCATAATTGGGGCAAAAAAAAAATCTTAGCAGCAAGTTTCTCTAATAAAGGTCTTATTTCCTAGATATATAGGGAACTGATTCAAATGTGTAAGAATAAGAGCTATTTCTCAATAAATAAATTGTCAAAAGATATAAACAGTTTTCAGTGAAAGAAACCCAAGGTATTAATAGCCACATGAAGTAAAAATGGCTAGCTGAGATGCGTGAAAGGGGCTAAAAGGGGATTGATAGCTGCTATATATGCATTGACCCATACAGTGTCTAAAGTACCTTCCTCCTAGGTAGTCAAAATGTCATTATATCCATTTTATATTACATCTATTTTACAGGAAACTAAGGTTTGAAGAATCCTGGTGATTATTCATAGTTACCACAGCTAATAGGTAGTTTTTCAACAAGCATTTATTAAACACAATGTGCTAAGCACTGGAGTTACAAAGAAAAGCAAAAGCTCTGTCTCAGGAGACTTACATTCTAAAAGGGAAGGCAACATGCAAGCAATTATGGATAGACAAGTTAAATACTCCAGACTAGAAATCCAGTGCTTTCCTCTCAAGGGCAGGGAGAAGAAGGGTCACGTGCAAAGCTGAGGAAAAAGGGTTTGGAAGCTGACAATGACTTATGGTTTTCAATGAGAGTTTATGACATTTCTATGATACTTCCTGGCAACAAAACCCTTTGTCTACATTATACCATAGAGTCACTGACTTTCAAAGTTGGAAGGAATCTTAGAGGCCTATAAGTCTGACCTTACCTGAATATAATCTAGCCTCTGCTTAAATATATCCAGTAATGGGGAACTCACTACCTCTTGATGAGGTCCTCAGCTCTAATTATTGGTTTTTTTCTTATATTATCACTTGATGATTACAATAATAACTAACATTTATATAGAGAGCAAACATGGTTAAAGGAGCACGTAGTAGGGGGAAGGGAATATGCATTTATCGAGTGCCTACTATATGCCAAGCAGTATGCTAAGCACTTCATAAACGTTATCTCATGAGATCTTCATAATAGCCCTGGGAGGTGGGTGCTATATACCTATTTTACAGTTGAGAAAACTGAGTCAGAGAGAGGTCAAGTGACTTGTCCAAGGCCACACAGCTAGTAAGTGTCTGAAGCTGGATTGGAGCTCAGGTCTTCCTGACTCTTAGGCCCAGCACTCTATCTACTGTCCACTTCCATGACATTGTAATCAGATGACCAGGGTTTGAATTCCTGCTCTGAAACTTATTACCTCTGTGACTTTGGGAAAGTCACTTCTCTTTGAATATCAGTTTTCTTGTGTGTAAAATCCCTTTTTAAAGTTCTAGAGCCTATATAGTATTTAAAGGTTTACAAAATTCTTTGCCTTAACAACATCCTTTGGGGCATGTTAGTCATGTTCAGTATTTCAAGGAACAGAGACAAAACCGCTCCTACCTTATGCTAACTATAGGGTTGATTTAATAATATACAAGCAAACTACTTGGGTCTCAGTCCAACAGAAAGGGTGTTAAGAGGGTCTGTGCACATCTGTTTCAATGCAACTTGATAGGTATTCATCTTTTATCTGGCTCAGGGGACTGTAGGTGCACACATAACTGCTCCCAGAAAGTGGGCTTATTCCAAGCCAAGAACATGAACCCATATGGTCCACAACTTTTAGGGGTTATGTGGTTTCATATCAAGATAGACAAAGGGAAATGGAAGCTCAGGTTTGAGGTGAATCAACCCCACTAGGTCAGATAAGGGTTAAACTGGAGGAGCTGGCAGAATTCCTCAGGGATTCTCCATCAGCTGCATTCGTAGGTATTCACTCTTCACCTTAGCTATCTCACATCTTTGTAATCCCACAGCCCTGCTGCTGCAGGAATGGGCTTGTCTGATCTCACTAGCCTGTAGGTAGTAACAACATGTTGTCATTTGTCCTTCGTTTTCAGAGATGACCAGTGACAGCATGGAAGAATGTCTTGACCTGTGCGTGAATTGGATTTAAGTGAGGCAGAGCTGTACAGAGTCATCAGCCTCACTCTCCCTTCCAGAGCCATTGAAATCCAGCAGCAGGAGAAAAGTCAAGACAACTTGTAATGACCCGGGATGGAGTGGATGCCCTTGCTGTCTTCAATGCCTCACCAAACTCTAAGCACTCCACAGCACCCACTTCAGCCACTCTCATGGCCATTGGAAGAAATTGTTCTCATCCACCCATTCCACCAGGGGAAGTCTTCACATGCTTGGAGTAGACATCCCCCTCATTCACTCACCAGTTTCAGGCCGGTCACCTTCAACATGGTGTAGCCTGACTGCCAAGATGGTCTCACTGGGCGTGACTGCTGAACATGCTACAGCTTTTCGGAGCCCCAGGTGAGAATTGGGTGCCAGGTGAACACCAAAGGTGAACGAGCAGCCCTGAAAAGGACTTGGCAAGCCCTCACACCAGAGGTGCTACTTCTCCCTGAACTCATATTGTTATCTTATTTTATAGATAAAGAACTTGAAAATCAGAGTCAGAAATCAAACACGGGTGGATTCCAAATTAGAGCCTAATTTGCATAGCACTGACAACTGCTAACTTTCCTCCATGAGACTTAATGGGCCTTAGAAACTGTTTCTTGTGAACTGGTTATAGAAGAAGCAGCTTTGTCAGAGGCTGGGGAGGACATTTTGGTCCTATCCCCTAGGGAGTAGATAGCTGAAGTGAGATCGGGACAGTCTGGCCAATGAGATCAAGATCCTGAGGGCCCTCTGTGAGGTGGTAAGGATGGTGCTTTGTGTGTGGTCTGTGGTTGGTTTCTATGGTAGCACAGGGTGATGGGAGTTCAGGATAGTTAATACTCAGAGGCAGCGGGGCACTTTATAGATTATCCATGCCCTTATTATATATACCTACATGACTTTGCCTGAAAATCTGTCATCAAGGCTCAGGTAAAAGGGTTGTTGTTTTGTTGCTGATTTTTTAAAAACAGTGGCCTGGGAAGAACATACAGTATGTGGAGAAAGCCACCAGATTGAGAATCAGCAGCTGCAGGGTGTGACCTCAGCTCTGCCATATGGGAACTGGAATAAGTCACTTTGGTTCACTTATCTGTAAAGTGAGGATAAATATCTCCAAAAGTGCCCACCACAAAAGGTTGTTGTGGGGCAGCTAGGTGGCACAGTAGATAGAGCACCACCTCCTGGAGTCAGGAGGACCTGAATTCAAATCCAGCCTCAGACACTTGACACTTACAAGCTGTGTGACCCTGGGCAAGTCACTTAACCCCATTGCCTTGCCAAAAAAAAAAAAGGCTGTTGTAAGGAGTGAATGAGATAATGTATGCCAAGTGCTTTGAAGAGAATTATAATAATAATGGTAATTATACATAATGCAAAGTACTTTATGTATATCATTTGATTCCTACAACTACCCTGTACATTTGGTATGGTTATTATCCCCATTTTGCAGACAAAGAAACTGAAGCAGAATCAGGTTAAGTGCTTTGCCCAGGGTTAAAAAACTAGTGAGTGTCTGAAGCAGGTCTCAAACTCGGGTCTTTCTGACTCCAAAGTATGAAAGCGTGGTACCAAAATAAGGTATTATTGTGTGGATGATGGGGGAGAAAAGCATTTAACTTGGAGAGACCAGGTCTGGATTCTATCCCAGGTGCTGCTACTTAATAGGTGATCTTGGGTAAGTTGCTTAATGTCAGAGACAGTTTCATCATCTGCCCAGGGGAAGAGAGTAATTTGTACACTGCCTACCTCCCAGGACTATTGAGAGAGTGAGAGGAAGTAATGGCTCCAGAGTACAGTGGTACGGTGGGTAGAACGCTGGACTGGGAGTCAGGAAGATCTGAGTTCATATTCAGCCTCAGACACTTACCAGCTGTGTGACTCTGGGCAAGTCACTCAACCTCTGCCTCAGTTTCCACATCTATTAAATGGGGATAATAATAGCACCTATTTCCCAGGGTTGTTGTGAAAATCAAATGAATTAGCATATGTAAAGGCTTTGTAAACTTTGAAGTGCTATATAAAGTCTAGCTATTAGGCACCTGGAAATGATCATGCTTTTGAGGAAGGTCTGCCTATTGGGCTCCACCGACTGAATCTTTTGGTGATCTAGCTGGTCAGCTATGGGCACATGTTTTTAATGCCAAAATCATCTTCTTTATGGACAGGAGCAGGTCTCAAGAAGCAACATAGACTTGGAAAGATGGGAATGGCATCCAAGGGAGAAAACCAGAATGAGGACTGCAAGCAGACAACGCAGGCTGAGATTCCATTAGACACTGAGGCCCAGGTGACTCAGAGCTCAGCTGCTGCCATCAAAGATGGATGAGCTCTTTGAACTTAACCCCATTGACCTCAGCCACCTTCAGGAAAAATCAGTCCTGGAGTTGTGCCTCCGAAATCTAAAAGATATCAGGTGGTGAGATTAATAGAAATTGAGCAGTGAGTGTGATTTCACTCAGATGAGAAATTGCACTGGGGTTGCAAACCAGAAGCAATACAATGCAGCAAACATTTACTTAGTGCCTATTGTGTTCAGAGGACTGGAGGGGGTACAAATGAGATGGTAGAATCTCCTGTCTTTTCAATGTAGAATCCCAAAATCTCAGCGTTTAAAGGGAGCTCAGAGGGCCATATAGCTCAAACCCTTCTAAGTGAGGAGCATGACACCAACAAAGAGAACTGAACAATCATGCACCATATTACATACTAAGTGAATTAAAGGACAATAAAGTAAGGTGCTAGGAGGGATCCAGAGAAGAAGGTTGTTTTTTGCCTGGGGGTATCTGTGGAAATTTCATAGAAGAGATGGCATCTGAGACATGTTTGAAAAGATAGGTAGGAAAGTAGGAGAGGAAGGGGATTCTGGGGTAAGGGAATCATAGTGAAGAAAGATATGGAGTTGAAAGAAGGAAGCATATAGCATCTTCTGGGAGTGGGACAAAGTGGGGCAAAAAATGACCTCATGGAAGTCAGTCTTACTTACAGTTATAAGAGAAGCAGACATTCCCCAACCCTTCTATATAGTTTCCTTAGGATTCTAGCCTAAGGGAAGCACTGGAGGTATCAACTATATATCTTCATGTTCTTTGCTTTATGGAAGAGTAGGGCAGGATAAAGGAGCAAGGTGAGGACATGGAAAGGGGGAGTAGGGGAGGATAGAGGGAAAGAGGAGCTTGGGTGCATAAGATAGACTCAGCACCTAGATTGCCTAACAATTCAGTAAATATTAATTAAGAAATTACCATATGCAAAACACCCTATACGTGCTACAAAGGCAAAAATGGAAGACAATTCCTGCCTTCAGTGAGTTTATATTCTACTGGATTCTTCTAGTCCCAGGGTGGCTGTGAAAGCTGATATGGAAGTCAACAACTAGGAAAGAAAGCCAAAGTCAAGAAGACTGGCTCGAACAGGTTTTCCATCTCAGTTCTCCAGACCTTAGATTCTGTCTCAAAGAGAATTCTGGCCTTTCCAATGCAGAACAGTCCTGATGTAGGATGGGTCAATCCCATCGGCTTGTCTGGGCACTTGTCCAGGGTGTAGACAGTTTCTGTGGTGTCATGGCAAGAGTACTTGAGTTGGAGTCAGAAGACCTCGGATTGAAAGCTCAGTTCTGCCATTTATGAGATTTGTAAATGTGGGTAAATCACTGAGCCTCTCTCTATGAGCATCAGTTTCTTCATCTGTAAAACGGAGCTAGCAATGTTAGCTTGTGTTAGCTAAATCATTGGACTGATAAGATTCAAACAAGCTAACACAAAATGTGCAGCGAGGATCTTCAAGTGCAGCATGCACATCTGTTATAACAGCTGCTTTTGTTATTTATTGTTTTAGGGAAGAGAGGGGTGGTGGTAGCCTGTCAAGTAGCTCCATTCATCTCCTGGCTTAGTAATAGCCCCAGGCAACCTTTTCCCCCAAAGTTCTACCCAATAGTGAGGGATCCTACGCATTCATTCACTTAGCTAGAGGAAGGTACTCCCATTACAATTTCATGTAAATGATCCTTCCATCTCATTGTTCCCACTTAGTTGCTGGCACTGCAGACATCAGCCAGAGAAGGTTTGGAACACGTGAACAAAACGAAAGAGAAGATCTCTAACCTCAACCAAGTGATCAGGAGGCAATGGAATGAAATCAAGCTGGTAAAATCCCGGGTAAGGAGTTGATGCCTACTCATTCCTTCAGTAAACACTTACTACACGCAAGGCTCTCTGCCTCAGTTTTCTCAACTGTAAGATGATGATAATAATAGCAACTACCTCCCAAGGTTGTTGTGAGGAACAAATTAGATAATAATCCTAAAGCACTTAGTATATCGCCTGGCACAAAGTAGGAGTTCTATAAATGCTAACAATGATGATGATGACGACAATGATGATGACAATGATGATGATGATGATGATGATGATGATGATGATGATGATGAAATGACTTACCCAAGGGAATATGACTAGTTATCAGCAGGAATAGAATTGTAATCAAGGTTCTCTGACTCTGAATTCAGGCCTCATTCACTCCTCTGAGCCACAATTGTCTCTAGTTCTCCTTACTAGGAGTGTGATTGGGTAAATCATTTCAATTCCCCGGGCCTCTTTTGTCCTTTATAAAATGAAGATATAGTCTCTAAAGGCCTTTCTAGTTTTTACATCCAGTACTGACATTATCCAGAAGTAGGAAAAATGAATAAAAGTTTTAGAAGGACAGGTTCCAACTGTACAGGAGAAGTCTCATCTCTAACTTGAGTTAGGGATGCTTCCTCTTTTGGTGGGGGATAGGGATGTGTTCCAGGACAGTAATTGGTGGGAATTACAAAGATCAGTTCAAAAATTGAGTGGGAAGGGACTGCAATGGGGAGAGACTTGAGGCAGGGTAAATCAATTTGCCAGAGTAAATCCCTTTACATGCACAAATTGTCCCGTTCTAGTTCATCTTCTCCAGTAGATTGTCCATTCTACCATCTTCATGCCTCTCAATTATCTTCAGTCTCTCCCTACCTACTGGCTGTTTGCTTATTACTTACAAACATTTCCCCCATCCTCAAAAAATCTCACATCCATCCTTGAGAGCTATCATCCTAGATCTCTCCTCATTTTCACAAACAGTCCTTGAGAAGGGCATCTACAATTGATGGGTCCACTGCCTTTTTTTTTTTTTTATCACTTTCTTCTTAACTCTCTGAATCCTGGCACTGTTTGGCAGGCTATTGTAGCTGTAACCTAGGCATGAGGTGAAGAGGACATGTAGCAGAGTAGTGGCAATGTCAGAGGAGAGAAAAGGGTGTGCACAAGAGATGTAAAGGTAGAATTGATAGGACTTTGCGACAGATAGGATATGAAGGGGGACAAGAGAGAATTAGTTAAGAATGATACCTCAGTTTTGAGCCTGGGTGACTGAGAGGTTGGTGGTACTCTCAATAGTAATAGGAATGTTCAGAAGAGAAGGAGATTTGAGGAGAAAGATAATGAGTTGAGTTTAAGATATGTTGAGTTTGAAGTCTCTATGGGACATCTATTTCAAGATGTCCAATGGGCAGTTAGAGATGAAATACTGGAGGTCAGGAGAGAGGTTACGGCTAGATCAATAGATCTGAGAATCTGAGATAAATGAGTCTATTGTATAGAAGGAGAAGAGAAGAGGACCAATAACAGAGCCTTTGGGAAAGACATCCAGGGTTATTGGGTAAGACCTAGATGAAGATTCAGCAAGAGGGTGAGAAAGAACAGTCAGCTAGAAAAGATCAGTGTTGCAAAAAGAGAGTATCAAGGAGAGTGTGTCAGGAAAAGTATATCAAGAAGAATGTGGTCAACTGGGTCAAAGGATTCAGAAAGGTCAAGAAATATGAGGGTTGAGAAAAGACCATTGGAGCTGGCAATAATTAGGTCATCACTTGGTCAATGGAATGATGAGGTTAGAAACCATAGTTCAGAGAGTCAGGAAAAGAGTGAGAAGGCAAGAAATGGACACATCAATTGTAGATGTCTTCTCAAGGTGTTCTCCAGGACTATTCATGAAAATGAGCAGAGATCTAGGATGATAGCTCTCAGGGACAGATGGATCAACTGAGTATTTTTAGAGGATGGGGAGCCCTGGGTTTGTAGGCAGGAGGGAAGCAGCCATCTTCTACAGGAGAAGATGGGATAGAATGGGATTATTCACGTATGTAGAGAGATTTACCTTGGCAGGAAAAGCCACTTTCACATGAGTAAAGGGTGGAGATGATAATAATAATAATAATAATAATAATAATAATAAAATAATAATAATGATAATAATTTCCATTTGTATAATGTTTTAATTTTAATAGTAGTAGTAACAGTAGCTAGCATTTACATAAGCATTTTAAGAGTACTTTTGCAAAGCACTTTATAATATTATCTCATTTTATGCTCACAATAACTATGGGAAGTAGGTGCTATTCCCATTTCATATATTAAGAGAAGATGAAAGAAGGAGATGAGAGGAGGGGAAGGGGGAAACTGAGGCTGAAAAAGGTTAAGTGGCTTGTCCAGGGTCACACAGCTAACAAATATCTAAGGCAGGGTTTAAACTCAGATCTTCCTGAACTCCAGGACCCTTCACCTAGCTGCCATATAGCTTCACTTATGCTATTCCATTTAGTCTTTACTATACCTATTTTATAGATGAGAAAACTAAGGCACTGAGATGGTCAAGTGACTTGCCCAGGGTCACATAACTAGTAAGTTTTGGAGGTAGGATTTGAACCCAGGTCTTCCTGACTTCAAGTCCAATGTTCTATCTACCATGTGACCTACCTGCTAAACAGTGGGGGAAGGGCCCTGAGTTATATGAGATGAGAAAGTGGAGGAGGAAGAAAAATGAACTTTCAAGAAGTGGCCTCAGTCTTTCTCAATATAAAGCAAGGTTCTCAGCTGAGAGGGTAGTGGAGGTAGAGGTTTGAGGAGGGACAAAAGGGCTTAATAAATCTTCTGTGGTGTGTGTGACTGTGAATCAATTAGGGAGGGGCAAAAGAATTGCCTTACTGCAGTGACAGCCCAGTGGAGAATATATTGTATGAATTTGTAGTGGACCCAATCAGCACAATTTCATAATTTTCCCCAAGCTTCATTCAGCAGCATATGACCAGGAGGGAAGGCAATGGAAAATGCCAGTATTCTAAGACTAGAGTAAAATTAAGGAGAACATGGGAGAGAGGGGAAGGTCTTTATTACTACTATATTCTGTAATGTGTATATTTTGTGTACAATGTATATATTTCCTAGCAAACACTATCAATCCATTCCCATTTCCCAGAGGAAGCATAGCACTTACAGATACAAAAGTCTAAGAATAAATGTCTCCTTATATGTATAGAAAGGTCATAGAAACCAACAAACCACACCCTGAGAAATGGAATGTGGAATTCATAGTTTAATGGATTCGCCAACAAAAGTTTTCAGAGAAAGGAGATCAGGAGTTTCATCAGGAAGACTTTCTGGATGAAGGGGCTCTAAAGTAGAGTTTGAGGGCAGGGGACAAAGGAGAAAACAACATCCCCATCTTTATTAAATGACTATTCGTGCAGACTCCTAGAAAGTGCAAACACAGAGCAAAATGCCTAGAGGAGGAGGTGGGTTAGAGGCTAGAAGGATAAACAATTCACTTCTCATATCATTGGGGCTTGTGGGAGGAAACCTGGAAGCTGAACCCCGAGGCCAGGAGGGGCACTGATGTGTCATATGACACATATCATTTGTCTATACCTGTTCTTCTGGAGAATAAAGTTTTTGCTAAGCCCCCTACCTAGTTTCTGAGTGGGTCCTTCCAATTTTTGTTTATCTTACTATAATGGAGGAGGCAGGAAGTGCGTACACCTCCAAGATATAATTCCATTCCATTTAGTTCAGTGTTGCTGTTCATCCCTTTTTCTCAAAGAAGGTCAAAGACTTCAGAAGGGTAGTGTCTTGATTTGCAAGTGAATTGGATTTAAGTGAGGCAGAGCTGTGTACCTTCAATTCAGCACATCTACCTAGAATACTGTGCTCGGGACTGAGGGTGGTGCATAGTTTAGGTAAGAAGTGGTCTCTGCCCTCACCAGCAGTTAACAGTTAAGATATCTGGCTATTGATACGGGCTTTAGGAAATGAAAAAGGATTCAACTGATGAAGGAGAGGGAAGATATTCCAAGATCAGGGAATGGGGTGTAAGCAAAAGCATGGAGATGGGATAATGCAGGTTTCGGGGGAGTGTGTGCAGAAGACAATGTGTAGGTCAGTTTGGCTAGAATGAACAGTGAGAAAAGGGGAAGGAAAAATGAAAAAAGAAAAAAGGAGGGCAGCAAAAGATTATAGAAGTCCATAGACAAAGAAATAGTAGTTAGGTAGAGCCTAAGGAAGTAGAGAGAGAGAATTTAGGTAAGGAAGGTTTTCTGGAACAGGGGATTATGGAACTGGATTGGTAAGGCTGGGGGGTGATGGTGCTATTACAGGAAAAGGAAACCTGGTGGAAAAGCTGTCATTGGCCATGGCCAGCTGTAATGGCTATGGGTCTAGCATAAGAACAATTGGGGAATGGTTGAACAAGTTGTGGCATATGATTGTAACGGAATATTACTGTGCTATAAGAAATAATGAGCTCAATGATCTTAGAAAAACATGGAAAGACTTATCTGAAATAATAAAGAGTGAAGTGAGTAGAACCAAGACAACATTGTATACAGTAATAGAAATATTGTTTTAAGAATAACTTCGAGAGAAGAAACAAAGCCATCACTCTTTGCAGATGACATGATGATATACTTAGAGAGAATCAAGCAGAAAACCACTTGAAATAACAAGCAACTTTAGCAAAGTTGCAGGCTATAAAATAAATCCACATAAATCATGGGCATTTCTATATATTACCAACAAAGCCCAACAGTAAGAGACAGAAAGAGAAATTCCATTTAAACTTACTGTAGACATTATAAAATATTTAGGAGTCTACCTCCTGAAACAAACCCAGGAACTATTTGAACACAATTACAAAACACTTGTCACACAAATAAAGTCAGATCTAAATAATTGGAAAAACATCAGTTGCTCATGGGTAGGCCAAGCTAATATTATAAAAATGACAATTCTACCTAAGCTAATTTACTTATTCAGTGCCATACCAATCAAACTACCAAAAATTATTTTATAAGTTAGAAAAAATAATAACAAGATTCATTTGGAAGAACAAAAGGTCCAGAATATCAAAGGAACTAATGAAAAGAAATGCAGGGGAAGGTGGCCTAGCAATTCCAGATCTTAAATTGTATTATAAAGCAGCAATCATCAAAACTGCTTGGTACTGGCTAAGAAATAGGGAGGTGGATCAGTGGAATAGGTTAAATATGCAAGACACAGTAGTCAATGACTATAGTAATCTATTATTTGATAAACCCAAAGACCCCAGCTTCTGGGATAAGAACCCACTCTTTGAAAAAAACTGCTGGGAAAACTGGAAAAGAGTATGGCAGAAACTAGGCATAGACCCAAATCTCACACCATATACCAAAATAAAGTCAAAATGGGTTCATGACTTAGATATAAAGGCTGATATAAGCAAACTGGGAGACAAGGAATAGTTTACCTATCAGATCTATGGAGAACAGAAGAATTCATGACCAAACAAGAGATAGAGAACATTATGAAAAGCAAAATGGATAATTTTGATTACATTAAATTGAAAAGTTTTTGCACAAACAAAGCCAATGCAACTAAGATTAGAAGGAAGGTAGAAAATTGGGAAAGAATTTTTACAACCAGTTCTCTGATAAGGCCTCATTTCTAAAATATATAGAGAATTAAGTCAAATTTATAAGAATACAAGCCATTCCCCAATTGATAAATGGTCAAAGGATATGAACAGGCAGTTCTCAGATGAAGAAATTAAAGCCATCTATAGTCATATGAAAAAATGCTCTAAATCATTATTGATTAGAGAAATGCAAATCAAAACAACTCTGAGGTACCACATCACACCTATCAGATTGACCAACATGACAAAACAGGAAAATGATAAATGTTGGAGAAGATGTGGGAAAATTGGAACACTAATGCATTGTTGGTGGAGTTGTGAAATGATCCAATCATTTTGGACGGCAATTTGGAACTATGCCTAAAGGGCTATAAAAATGTGCATACCCTTTGACCCAGCAATAGCACTTCTAGGGCTATAATCCCTAAGAGATCATACAAATGGAAAAAGGACCCACATGTACAAAAATATTTATAGCAGCTCTTTTCGTGGTGGCAAAGAATTGGAAATTGAGAGGATGCCCATCAATTGTGGAATGGCTGAACAAGTTGTGGAATACGAACATAATGGAATACTATTGTGCTATAAGAAATGATGAACAGGCTGGCTTCAGAAAAACCTGGAAAGACTTGTATGGTCTGATGCTGAGTGAAGTAAGGAGAACCAAGAGGACTTTGTACACAATAACAGCCACATGGTACGATGACTAATATTGATAAACTTAACCCTTCCCAGCAATACAAGGTTCTAAGACATCTCCAAAGGCCTCGTGATGGAAAATGCTTTCCATATCCAAAGAAAGAACTATGGAGTTTGAATGCAGATCAAAACATACTATTTGCTATTTTTTTCTTCTGTTGAGTTTTGTTTCCTTTCTGGTAGTTCCTCCTATTGGTTCTAATTCTTACTTACAACATCACTAATGGGAAAATATGTTTAATAGGAATGTATATGTATAGCCTATATTAGATTGTGTGCCATCTTGGGGAAGGTGGTGGGGAGGAAGGGGGAGGAAAATTTTAAACTCAAAAGCATATGGAAGTGATTGTTGATAAATCAAAATAAATTAATAAAAAAGAATAACTTTGAACAAATAAATCATTTTAACTATTATAAATACCCAAATTTACAATAAAATACATATGAAGAAAGATACTATCTGTATGCAAAGAACTGATAAATAGAAGTATGTATAGAATAATTTTATGTATATATACCTATTTGTGTTTAATGGTAGCCATCTCTATGGTGGGGTGAGGGAAGAAAAAAATGGGAAAAAAGAAAAAAAAAGAAATTTACATGATAACTTTATTATATATTTAAGAGGAATAGCGAGTTGTACATTATAGATTTTCATTTTCATGTGTAATCATATTTTTTATTATATTATGTTTGGAAATGCTTATTCCATTCCATAAATTAAAAATAAAAGAAATTTTAAAAAAGGAATGTGTAGGGAAGGAGGGGAGGATACAGCTGATACCTTAATTGCATGTGGGATCAGGGGTGGTCCCTAAGCCCATGGCACATTGGCCTCTGGGAGATTTCCATCTCTCTCAATTCTCTCCAATTTCTCACTCAACCCCGGTCCTTTCTCTAGTGTGGGGAGCTCCAGGACTCCATTGACACCACCAAACGACTTGAGAGGATATCTCTGAAGGTCACTTGGAGCAAACTATCTGAGCTGGAAAGTGACTTGAAGAAGGCTGAAGAAGACACTGCCCGGCACCTGAAGAAGTTCCAGTTGATGAGTAAAGATATAAAGACCAGCTACCTGAAGAAGACAAAAAGTGAGCTGCTCAGGTGGGGACCCCAACATTTTGCCCTACCCACTCACTTTATCCTCAATTTCCCGAAAGAAAGTTCTTAAAGGAAATTAGAGAGCAGTTCTTGAAAACTAAACAAAACAAAAATAAGGCAGCAGGCTTACACATGACCACTGCCCCTTTATTCATTCATTACCCTTGGCTTGGAGGAAAAAACACTATCTTGAGTCTACACCCTTACTCTACCCCATTTTTTATTATACTGGCAAATCAATCCATTGTTAGATTTCCTATACAATGGGAGCCAAGAGAGAACCTACACATTGTCTGTTGCATTCACTTTATTTATAGATTGAAACACTGAGGACTAAAGAGTTGACAGTCTCTCCTAATGTCACACAGCTAATAGCTATGACTCAAAACCTTGAATGCAAATTGTATAGTTGGAGTGGAAGGCAAGAGACCCTAGTTTCAAACTCATGTCTGTCATTTGCAGTATAACCTTTCAGTAAGTCATTTCATTTCCTTGTTTAGGAAGTAAAGGGATTGGACTAGATCAAGGATCCTTTACATCAGGTCCAGGAACTTTAAAATATATTTTTTTGATAACTGTATTTCAATATAATTGATTTCCTTAGTAATTCTATGCATTTTACTTTATGTATTTAAAAACATTATTCTGAGAAGGGGTCTGTAAGCTTCACCAGCCTGCCAAAGAGGGATAATACACAAAAAAGCTAAGATGATCTTGAAGGTCCCTTCCAACTCTGACAGTCTTTGATTTTAGGAAAACGTGCATTAGTCTCATTGCCCAATTTCCATTGGAATTACTACTCCCTTTCCATTAGGTGTCCGCCACCTGATTTTTTTCTTGGATCAGGGGCTGCTTTTCTGGGAATGGCAAAACTAATCCTCCTTCTGGTTTTCCCACTAGGATGGTCAACATTCCTCCAATTGACATCTGTAAGTATTGTGTCTGCCCCACACCCTGGGATATGCAGGGGAAGGGGAAGAGGGAGAGGATCCCATCTAGATCACTGCTCATTTCCCAAATGTGCTTCCTTTCCAGATGCAAATCCCTATGCTCAGGCCTTAGCTGCATTAGAGTTGGAGGCTGGTGTTGGACCTGAGACCTCTCCTGAAATCAAAAACGTCAATGTTAGCTCTAACAGTGAAAATGCAGTTAAGGATTTGGATGGGTTGGGGATAAATATGAATGACTTTGAGTCAAGAGGGGCAGAGAAAGGCCAGGGGGAGAATCTGTCTACTTCACAAGGGCAGTCAGAATCTAGGGTTGACAACGTCCTCATGGGAACGGAAATGAGTGAGGATGACTCGGACAGCAGAATCAGCAGTAGCTCTTCAAATGTGAAAAGTAGTGAGAAAGACTCAGAATGTGAAGTTAGTGAAAAATCTTTCAGAGTCAAAAGCAGTGGGAGTGACTTGGGAGCCAGAGCCAGTGAAAACAAGGGTCCCTCGGGAGTGAAAATGAATAGAAGTAACTCAGGAGTTAGAAGCAGTTCCCCAGAAGTCAAACGCCTTCAGAGTCCCTCAGCAGTTAAAAGGATCAGGGCTAACTCAATGAAATGCAGTGGGAAAACCTTGGGAGTCAAAATCAACAAGAGTGATTCAGGCCTCAAAAATAAGAATGGCTCCCCCAGAGGAAGATACAGTGAGAACCTTTTGGAAGTCAAAAGTAGTGAGAGCGACTTGGGAGTCAAGACTCCCTCAGGAGTCAAATCCAGCAAGAATCGACCAGGAGTCAAACACACTGGGAGTTCTGCAGGAGTCAAGTCTGGTGGGAACCCTTCAGGGGTTAAACATGGTGGAAGCCCCCTAGAAGCCAAACAAAGTGGGAGTCTCTTGGGAATCAAACCAAGTGAGAGCTCCTTGGGAGTCACGGGAACTGGGACCATGGCAGTGGTCAAAGCTGGTGGAAGCCCCAGCACAGCCAGACCCAGAGAGAACATCCCAAGAGTTAGAGAGAGTGGGAATCCCTTGAGAGGCAGACAAAGTGAATTCACTTCAGGAGTCAAACAGCGAGAGAGAGTCTCAGGAGACAAAAGAAATGAAAATTCCTCAAGACTCAAACTCAGAAAGGGGCCCTCAAAGGTTAAAGTTAGTGGGAGCCTCTTGGGAGTCAAAATCACTGAGATTCCCTCAGGAGTCAAAATGAACAAGAACCCCGCTGGAGTCAAAGGCAGCAGATGCCCCCCAGGAGTCAAAAGCCAGGACAGCTCAGCGGGCCGGGTCAAATCTGGTGGGAGCCTCTCAGAAGGCAAAGTCAGTGGCAGCTACTTGGAGGTCAACACTACGGCCAAGACTGACCAGAATAGTGCCGTGGGTCCAAGTGTACAAAAGTCACATTCCAAATAAGAGAGGACAAAGCAAAAGTCCCTCGCCTGTCTCTGTTGATGAAAGTCATTCTTTATGACTTTCATCAGACCCTTTCCTTTTGACATTTGTTTGATCATTTCGACTGAAGTCAGGTAAGAAACTCCACCATATTCACCAAATCACTTTATCTCTTGTCCTGTCCCCACAGAGGATGGGGCCATCCCCTAGGCCACATTCCTTAAGAGTTGGCTTCCCTTTACTTCACTCTACTCAGAGAAGACTACCTAGTGCCCTGGCCTCAGGATCCTGGTTGCCAAGATGTTCAGCTTCCTAGCTAGCCTCAACTCCCTTTGTGTAGTGTAAACTCATTTTTTTTAAAGAGTAGAAAACAGGATCTGTCTCTCTCTGTCTCTGTCTCTCTTTCTGTCTCTCTCTCTCTGTGTCTCTGTCTCTGTCCTCTGTCTCTCCATCTTTGTTTCTGTGTCTGTCTCTCTGTCTCTGTCTGTCTATTTGTCTGTCTGTCTCTGTCTTTCTCCTTTCTCTCAATCTCTTTCATTCTAGAGAATTCTCACTGATTTCTTTCTCTCACCATCTCTCTCCCTCAATCTCTCAATATTTCTCTCAATTACAGTTTCTCTCCCCTCCCCTCCCCGTCCTCTCCTCTCCTCTCTTCTCCTCTCCCCTCCACTACTCTCTCCTCTCTTCCCTTCCCTTCCCTTCCCTTCCCTTCCCTTCCCTTCCCTTCCCCTCTCCTTTCTTCTCCTCTTCTCTCCTCTCCTCAGCTCTCTTCTCCTCCCCTCTCTTCCCCTCCCCTCCTTTCCCTTCCCCTCTCTTCCCCTTCCCTCCTCTCCTTTCTTCTCCTCTTTTCTCCCCTTATTGTTCATTCCCCTCTCAACCTTTTCTTCTATCTGAACATTACCAATTCCTTCAGTTTCTTCATGCAACCCAATTCTCAAAACACTGCCTCATTTGGCTGTGGCATTATCAGAAATGCCAGCCTTGAGGCTAAAAAACAGTATCTTTTAAGGAGATATTTCTCTTTTGCTTTCCCTCAACTCACATTCTTTCACTGCCCCCTCCCCCAAGAGTAAAAAGGACTTGTCTATACTGGGGTGGAACTATTCATCACAGGTAATAATTAAAAGAGAAAAGTCACAGATACTTTAAAAAGGAAAGGAAAAAAGCAAAGGATTGATCACCAAATAAATTAAACTTTTAATGATTAACAAACCCTACCCTTTTGGCTTTGGGATAATATCAGAGACATCCCACCACATGGCGTTAGTTCCCCTCAGCTCCTCCAAACTGATTCTACTGCCACTGATCTTGAAAGCCAATGAGAAAGGGAGGGGACAGAGGCTCTTGGTGGTCCTGGGAAATCCATGGAGAGACCATGGGGCCATTGATCATGGAAATTGGACTCCTAGGAAATGTGTAAAGGAAGAGTTTGGGTTCTTGTTTCTTCTCTGAACTTTACAGCCACATGAGCAGCAATGAAGGTGAGGGGTTGGGGGGAGGTGGGGAAGGATGGGCAGATGCAAGCTGAGGCAGGTTTGACAAAAAGTTCAAGCGTGGATGGTATGCTCTCAGAAGCCAAGAGGACCATAGAACTCTCTGCATACAATGGATAGTCACGTCCCAGCCCAGTCCCAACCGTCTCTCTTGGAGAAAATCATTGGTGGTTGTTTATCATGGGGAATAAACCATGCTGACTAGGTGTTTGAGAAAACACTCTCCTACTTACTGAGTAGGTATGAGGGGGCACTGGGTGCAATGTGGGAGAACGCTTGGATACGAGAGAGGGGTGAGTAGACGAGGAGTAATGAATAGACATTTCTTAGAAAAAAGGTGAGAGAGAAAACAAGGATCCAGGGTTCCTGTGCAGATGGGAAGAAGAGTCTTTGTTCTTCCATGTCATCTATTCCCCCCCCCAACCCTGAGAATATATGCTTCTTGAGATCAGGGACTCTTATTTGTCTTTGTATGGTCAGCAGCTTAGTGTGGCACCTGTCACTTAGAAGATATTTAATAAATAATTATTGATTGATCTATTGAAAACTTTTTAGTAATAAATTATATAATACTTTGGTACTCCCCTCAATTCAGCAAGCTTTTCTCATGTAATTACTATGTCTTGGGCACTGTGCTAGGTGCTGGAGTTGCAAAAAGAGAAACCAAGCAGCCCCTACCTTTGAGGAGCTTACAGTCTACTGGAAAGAAACAATCAGTATGCAAATAAGTAAAATGAACATGTGCAAAAGAAATACAGAATCATTTCAGCTGGGTGGATAGAAAGAACTGAAAAGCTGGAGATGGATCAGGAAAGCCCTTATACAAGAAGGGGCACGTGAGCTGAGTCTGGAAACATGCTAGCTATGAACACTATTTGGGACCTCTATGCTTTCTGCTCCTATATAGTCCCTGTCCATGTTTTCCCACAAGTTCTCCAAAGAATATCTTCCCAGTATAGTGGAAGATTTCCTCTTCTCATTCCTGATGGTGAGGTGGGTGAATTGGGGTTGCTAAATAGCTGTTCTTTCTCTCATTCTTGCTACAAAAATCCTGACTATCTCCTTACTAGCTTTGTGACCTTGGGAAAATCACTTAACTTCTTTGGTTTTTAGTATCCTCATCTGTAAGATGAGTGCATTGGGCTAGAACCTCTCAAGGATCCCTTTCAGTTCTTAATCCTAGTATCCCAAGAACCTTCCTGGGAGCTAGCATGGTATAGTGGAGAGGGAACTGGATTTGAGGTCAGAGTATCTTTCACTGGTGACCTAGGAATAGAACTGAGAATGGAAAAGCATTTTTTCAAGCATTTAATAAGGGGATGCAGATGGAGGATCGAGACAATCCCTGCTCTCAAAGAGCTCACATTATAACTGAGGGAGACAACCCGTTTAGGAGGGTTCATGTTCATTCATGGCAAATGGAAAGGCCATGTCATACTTAGGCAGGGACAGTAGCAGGGCAAATACTAAAGTCCAAAGCACCCTGGGGATCCAAGGCAGGGCTGTATGACAGGATGGTGGGTCCAAGGGTTAGAGGAGAATGGACCTTTGGGATACTCCAGAGAGAGACGCACAGGGGCCAGTATCCAGATGCTGGTGGGTATCTTACTCCTGGTGGGAACTGGGGAAGTGACAAGTCTCCAGCCTTCACTCTGTGGCACCTTGTGGTGATTGGTTTTCAAGCTGGTGTGGGGAATGGAAGGCCCGTGTTATCCCAAACAATGGCTGGTAGAGGTAGGTTGACTCCTTGGTTAAATCACTTGACTTTTACAGGACTTAGTTTCCTTATCAATGAAAACAAGAATCGTGCTTGCCCTGACAACACCACATGGTTTTTGTGAAGATTAGATGAAATATGCATGTTTTGTAATATAAATAATGCTTTGTAATTCTAAGGTGCTATGTAAACATGATCTCCTTTTAGAACGCAATACCCAGAAAGCAAGAAGTATATGCCTCTACAATTCTCTGTACATGTTTCCTGGGACAGAGTAAAAAGAGGTTTTGTAAGATCTTAATCGTGGTAACTCAGATTGGTAGATCAACAACCCTGTGAGGCATACACTATAATCTCCATTTTACGGATGACTGAAACTGGAGTCTCCAAAGTGTTTAAATGATTTGATCAAGGCCACACAGCCCAGATATCTAAAAAGTCAGGCCTAGACCAGGCTGCTGCTGCTGCTGCTGATGGCAGTGATGTGTTCAATAACCTACCCTTCGTTCCCTCACCCAGAGCCACCACCATTTCCATCACAGAAATCGCCTCTTCTTTGTGCTTCAGCTGCTCTGAGATGCCTTCAATGTGAGGCACAATTGTTCCCTTGAAAAAGTGCTTGTGAAAACAGGTGCCAGAAGATGACTCATAAGATGGATTTATCCCCAAGGAGTGAACGTGCAGGCTGGAGCACTGATGGATCTTTCCACTGATGCTTTTGCCAGTCCTAGCTTTGATGAGGGTCTCTGGGCAGGAACAGACAGGCTAAAGTTTGGCTAAGACCAAGTCCTGGGGGTGAGAATCTCTGGAGATCCAGAGAGAGAAAGAGGAGGGAGGGTCTGGAAACTTGGAGGGGGTCCAGGAAAAGCAAGGGATGCAGGAGGTAGAAAAAGGAGCCCTGAGGAGGGAAAGTGGGAGGGCTGAGAAAGCTTGTGCCTGGAGAAGGGAACTGATGAATGGCTCTTCATTTTGAAAGGTTTATTCTCCATGCTAGGCAGGACTCTGTGTCACTGAAACCTTTGTATTAACCTCAGTACCCAGCACTGTTCCCTGTATACAGTAGGTGCTTAATATAGAATTGTCTGGTTTAATTGAATTGACTAAAAATGACTTTGATGAAGCTCCACTGTGGGCAGAGATGGATGCGTCAGCAATAAATAGCTAGATAAAAGAATGTAGAACTAAAGAAAGGCTTCCTAATAGGAAGGCATGTTTGAAATTGGCAAGGAATGTCAAGGGACAGTGCAGTAATCAATTGTTTTGGAGTCAGGACCTGGATTAGTGTCTGGATTCTGCCTTTTAATTTCTGGGGACCTGGGGCAAGTTCCTTTTTCTCTAAACCTCTGTCTTCTCATCAGTACAGTGGGTGTAATAAGTATAGGGGTAACTAGGTGGTGCAGTGGATAGAATGGGGACCTGGAGTCAGGTAGACCCCACTTTAAATCAGGCCCCAGATACCTTAATGGTTGTGTGACTGGTGTGTTCCATCTGTGACCCTAGATAAATCACTTAACTTCTGTTTGCCTCAGTTTCCTCATCTAAAAAAAGTCTACCTCTTCCTACCTACCTCTCAGGGTTGTTGTGAGGATTAAACGAGATAATAATTATAAAGGGCTTAACACAGTGCCTGGTACATAGTCATGCTTTATTTTAGTTAGCTATTATTAGTTTACATATATGTATATATATATATATATATATATATATATAGAGAGAGAGAGAGAGAGAGAGAGAGAGAGAGAGAGAGAGAGTTAGCTATTATTATCGTAGTATCATCATCAACATTATTGTTATACTTTGTAAACCTTAAAGTGACATAGAAATAACTTTTAATGATCACCATCGACCAACTTGGGCTGACCCTATTAGTGCAGGCCTCTGTGGCTGGAATGTACTTCCTTCCCCTTTCAGAGTGTTATCATTCAAAGCCCATTCAGGTGCCCCCCTCTCACATGGAGCCTTCTCTGATCTCCACCCTAGCCATGCGCAAACGTTCCTTCCCTTCTAGTGCCCATTGTCTGGATCTCTGTTCTGCTGCCATCACATTCTACCTTGTATTATACTTTTATACAGCAAACCTTCCTCCCGCCCCTACCCCAACACATACTAAGGAGAACAATGGCTTCTTGAGGCCAG